GGTTCTTGACTTTCCTGTTCTCTTCAAAGACCAGACTGTGTCTGATTGGCCAATCTGCTGCCAGACTATAGCCCCATATAGGGAAAATGATCACAAGTTCAGTCACACCTACACAAAGATCTGGTTCTCTGAATAGAATCACAGAGAGGGAGGTGCACAATGGTTGCTCGTGTTGGTATTACGTTTTAAATGACTAAAAAATACTTCATCACTATGCACATTATAAGCATTGGCTACTTAGCATGAACAGATTTATTCAATACACTTGAAGCATAGTATGGCAAATATCACTTCCTAGATGTTGAATCCAGTGTAGCAGTATGACATATGCTGTCCAGAGAATGAAAGATATCACTGGGGCTGCTGTGAGGAGAGACGAATTTTAGCATTAAACTGAAGGTAAAGCGGAGAATTTTTTTATGTTTTGAGAAGAAAACAGAAAAGTCCATCCTGACACATTCTCATACCGAAACATGTAATGGGTAAGACTAACCACACACTCTGGTTGCGTCCTTGGCTGCTCCGGTGATGAATCCTGCAAAAAGAGTCCCCAAAAAACATCCTTGTTATTTATCTCAAAGAGCATCTGTTGATGATGAAAGTAACATGCTTCAGAAAGCAGAAAATGTAGGGGTAGAGCTCTGCGCATGAGCAGTAGTAACTGAGGCCGGAAACGTTGTGAACTGCTGCGGGATCGGATCCAATAGGAAGGTTCTGTCTGCAGAGCGGGAGAGCCACGTACAGGCTGCTGGTAGAGGGCTGCACGGAGAGGCTGGACTCGTCTTCTACGGCCCTATAAGTGCACGGCTTCTAGTTCGGGTGCGCGTCGTAGTTTTAAAGGGTGATTTCACTCAAAATATACTTCCAATTTTCAAAAAAAATATTTAAGAAGAGTATTTTTAACCCCTTACCGCTCCCATGTCCCGCCGGTATCATCCGATACCGTAATTTCGTCCAGTATCGGCCCGATACCGATACCCAGTATCGGATCGGCGCATCTCTAGTTACTGTTATCCCAATGTTGACTTATTCCAGCAAATTCTTGCAGCAACATCACCTTCTGAGGAACATGATGAGTCAAGTTGAAGTGGAATGAAAGACAAAGCAAGTTATCAGTTAATTTAATGACAATAGATGTGTATGATGAGTGACCATACACAAGTTCTTATGGCAAAATGATGCAATTTGCCGTTTACCTCTTGAAAAACAAAAAGCACTCGTGAGATGCCATTGTGTTTATCGCTCTGTTTTGAGCAAAACAATCGTCATACCTTCGCCATTCTTGAGAGACAAGAATTTGCTGAATTGTCCAACCNGCAACTCTTCTTGCACAGTAGTAAGTTCCTGAGTCTGAAATACGCAAATCTTTAATATGAAAGTGATTGTTTCCTGCTTCATTAGTCATTGTGAATCGTGAATTATTCTGAAATTCATCATTACAAGTGCCGACTGTGTTCAACATATACACCGTACAGATGAAACTTGGTTTCTGTCCCAGACTTTGCTTGTACCAGTAAAACCTCGTTGCATCTGTGTGTTTATAGAAACACCGTAAAGTCAAGCTTCCACCAACATCAGCTGATATAAAACGAGCCTCTTGACGATGAGACGAGAGTTTCTGAGTCGCCACTCGAGCTGATAGGAAATGAGACAAAAGAATGCAGCCTTCAATTTCCATGAAAGAATTCAGTAAATCAGTACATTTAAACTTTTCAAACATTTGCATAAAGGAGTGATCATAATTGATGCATGTTTGAATTACAAAATTATAACTCACCTATTGTCTCCAGGAGCAGACATGTCAGACACACAACAAACCTGGGAGGTGTCATTGCGCTCAGACTGCTGAGTTGAATGAAGGAGGTTCTTGACTTTCCTGTTCTCTTCAAAGACCAGACTGTCTTTGATTGGCCAGTCTGCTGCCAGACTATAGCCCCATATAGGGAAAATGATCACAAGTTCAGTACCACCTACACAAAAATCTGGTTCTCTGAATAGAATCACAGAGAGGGAGGTGCATACTGGTTGCTCGTGTTGGTATTATGGTTTGAATGACTAAAAAATACATTATCGCCATACACATTATTGGCATTGGCTACTTAGCATGAACAGATTTATTCAATACACTTGAAGCATACTATGGCAAATATCACTTCCTAGATGTTGAATTAATGTGGCCGTATAACTTATGCTGTCCAGAGAATGAAGGATATCATTGGGGCTGCTGTGAGGAGAGACGTTTTGAGAAGAAAACAGAAATGTCCATCCTGACACATTCTCATACCGAAACATGTAATGGGTAAGACTAACCACAAACTCTGGTTGTGTTCAAGGCTGCTCCAGTGATGAATCCTGGAAAAAGACGAGTCCCCAAAAAACGTCCTTGTTATTTGTCTCAAAGAGCATCTGTAAATGGACAAAGTAAAAGTAACATGCTTACATCCCGCCAAAAACCACAACCCCTGCTACACTAAAAGAGACAGAAAGCAGAAAGTGTAGGGGTAGAGGTCAGCAGATCTCTGAGTAAGGAGCGAAAGGTTTTAAGGCATCCTTAGTAAACTCTGCAGTATCAACAGAAATAGTTGGACCTTGTGTTTACAAGGAAGACAACCATCAGGATTGTTTGGATTTTCTCTTATCTTAGCAATTCAGCGATTTATAAAAGAACCCATGTTGAAGGGAGATACTATATTCACATGACACTTAAAGGTTTCTGTCGGCCCAATGTTGACTTATTCCAGCAAATTCTTGCAGCAACATCACCTTCTGAGGAACATCATACTTCACTTTGTCACTAATTGAAGTGGAATGAAAGACAAAGCAAGTTGTCAGTTAATTTAGTAAGTTGAGCTGTGTATGATGAGTGACCATACACAAGTTCTAAGAGCAAGAAGATGCAACTTGCAACACTGTGTGTGTATTGTGTGTGTGTATATGCTCACAAGTTGATTGAAGCTATAGTGTCAAGTGTGCCATTTGGGAAATGGTCAAAGATACATGAGTAGATTCAAATGATGTTTCATCTTGAAATTAGACTTAAAATGAATGAAGGTAAGTGACCTATATATTCCATGGCCCTAAGTCAAGTCTGTGATGCTAGGAGTCAGTATCTAGGGCCTCGACTTTGCCTGCAGCTTGTGTTATCAACCCCAATGCTTATCCATGTGGGTGGTTGGCCTGCAAAGCAATGGTTCCATGTTGTCCTTTCAGGCTCTTTCCAGCCGAGCCACATCAATCAAATCTTAGCTAGGAGATCATGGCTGGTGAGTAGGTGCTGTCACTCTTTATGGACCATTGATTAGAATCAGTGAGGATTCCCTCCCCTGCAGCCAGTTTGACCTAGAAGACCCTACCAGTGGCTATTGCCTCCTAGGAGACAAAGGAACTGCGTCAGCTACGTTAAGATGGCAATTTTTTAGGGGCAAAGATGTTTAAGTTTGTCGGGTTCTTGTCAACAAGTACCAGTTAAATGGGGCTTAAGTTAGACTGACCAGTTGGTGCTGCATCAACGATAACATGGGCGTTGCACTGAACTGTTGCAATGAGTTCGGCCATCCAAGGATACCTGTAGATATCTTCCTTTTTTTAGTTTTTCTGGGCTTGTCCATTTGGGACTCAGAACTTACCAGAGGGATTACATATCCCATCTGACCAATGCTTCAGGAAAGGAACTTGTGACTGATTTAGTCCATTATCTACTCAATAAGACCAGGATGCTGGGGTGTGTTCCTGAGTTTCTGGCTGTATTGTGCTCAAAGTGCACAATTCTTTAATTCCAAACCGGTGTATATAAAATTTGTATATAAAAAGCTCCTAAAACACCTCACCTCAAAGGTATTACCGGTACAAATGTAATTACTATATCAGTCAGGAGATGTAAAAAAAAAAAAAACCCTAAAAACATGATATTATTTTTACCTTAGGTGGGAATACATTTTTAATTGAGTTAAGTGCAAATTTGATTAAATATTTGGTAAATTTAAACATTATTAAGTGCTACAAGATACACAATCATTAGTAAAGTAAGCAAACGTAATTTTCACCCAAGCAGTAATTTTCTAAACTAACAGGTCCTGGTGTCTTTAGGTCAGCAGAACAAAACTTACTGTGTTATTGTCTCATCACTCAGTGGGTGAGGTCAACCACATTCACAGATAGCATCAACCTCTCATGAATGAGGACGATCACACTGGATTGAATAATCACGTAGTCTCCAGCTTTATACTTTGGATTATGTTTATTGATCATCAGCGACTTAAAGCTCAAATGCAAAAACACACACAGGATTCTGTTGAGCGACAATGAGGTTAAAACACATGAAGTCAGAGACAATCTTCACCCTCAGTAAGGACGAGTGATTACTTCTTCTGCATCAGGTCACTTAATGAATAAAAACAACATCATAGCAGACATGACCTGCTTGATACCCTACAGACAAAACACATTCCAAGCATGCATTATGGATATTTTAATCTGCATTTTTATGTCCTAAATCACATTATAAAAGGAAAGATATATATTTCAGCTGCAGGCCACAAAGAAGCTATAAAAACGGATTTATTTCATATTATTTCTACATTGAACACAATCAAAAAAGAAATCCTGTCTTACTCGAAAGCAAATGAAACAGTGATACAGTTCTACTGCTTTATGCTGTAGTACATGCAGTCGCTCCAGGTGGGATCCCTCTGGCTTTTTGATCTGTTTGTCAGGTTGACACTTACAGCAGTGTTATAGATGTTTTCTCCATGTCGGTGACCCTGTTAATAAAGTATTTATTTGCAGTGTTCATATCAATGTAAACGTAATCAAACTATGTCCACAAATACATTTTTTAATGAGCAGTTATTACTCACCTTTACATCTGAGCTTGATAAGTTTGCTTGAGACTCTGGTTGTGAAACATAGAAAAAATATTCAGAAGTCAAATGTAGTGACTGTAAACTGTCAGATTTAAAAATTTTAAAAAAGCACCAGTTACCTGGAGATGTGCAGCAGTTGTTCTTGTTCATCAGACACAGTGAGAAAGCCAATACAACACTCAAAAAGGAGGTGAATGTAAAGGCCCCTCTCCAGAAATAAGCAACAGAAGCACCAATGTTCTCCTCATCTGCAAAGCCAACATTGGAAATATAGTTTTCAGTAAATTTGATGGAGGAGTGGGTTTTTCTTTACTTTAAACAACCTAAAGTTACTCACCCTCATCGCTCAACTTGGTCCCGTTTCCAAACACGATGTGTCCACATGAGGCAACAGCACAGTAGTAGGTTCCAGCATGAGACAGGTTCTTTATCGGCAGGTTGTGGACACAGGTGCGTGTTTGTCTGTTGGGTTTCTTCCCACACTGATCATTTGTGCCTCCTTGAGTGTAAATGATCCTTGGAAGAGGTTCTTCTCCAGTTTGGAACCAGTACACACTGTGTTCTCCATCACAGATCCCAGTTTGTACTGTACAGCTCAGATTCACAGAGTCTCCTGGGTGGATGGTCGTAGATGGCGACTGCTGGACTGAAGGTCGGATGTTCAAACCTGAGCCTTTTACGTTGACGATGGTGCCCTCTGCAAACTCCAACAAGAATGAGTAGCTGCTTGCACAGTAATAAGTAGCTGAGTCTGAAGTGCGCAGATCTGTTATCTTCAGGTGGTTGTTTCCTTTTTCAGTGTCCACTGTGAAGCGCGGGTTGCTCTTGAAATTATCATAAAATGTGGCTTCTTTGTCAAACTTGTAGAACATGGAGATGAGCCTCAGTCTCTGTCGCAGACTTTGCTTGTACCAGTAAAACCTCGTTGCATCTGTTTGTTCATAGAAACACTGCAAAGTCAAGCTTCCACCAACATCAGCTGATATAAAACGAGCCTCTTGACGATGAGATGAGAATTTCTGAGTCGCCACTCGAGCTGATAGGAAATGAGACAAAAGAATGCAGCCTTCAGTTTCCATGAAACAATTCAACAAAACAGTACATTAAAAAATACTGAAACATTTGCATGAAGCAGTGATCATAAATGATACATATTTGAATTACAAAATCATAACTCACCTATTGTCTCCAGGAGCAGACATGTCAGATAAACAACAAACTTGGGAGGTGTCATCGCGCTCAGACTGCTGAGTTGAATGAAGGAGGTTCTTGACTTTCCTGTTCTCTTCAAAGACCAGACTGTCTCTGATTGGCCAATCTGCTGCCAGACTATAGCCCC